ACAGCAGCAGCAGCAACAGCAGCAGCAGCAACAGCAGCAGCAGCAACAGCAGCAGCGGCAGCAGCACTTTTTGTGTGTGTTCAGGCTGAAGAAAGAAGAAAAAGAATTCAACTCGAAAGAGAAAGTCAGAGAAGAGCAGCAGACTATCAGCAGTACTTGGACACCCACTGCGTACAAAACTACTAGCAGCAGCAGCAGCAGCAGCAGCTGCTGCTGCTGCAGGCGCAGCAGCAGCTGCAGCAAAAGCATGTGGCGACAGCAGCAACGAACCACGGAGAAGCAGCAACAGCCTCGAGTCGGCGCCGTTGCGGATCTGGCTAGCTAGCCAGCTAGCTAGCTAACCAAGCTAACGACTCACTAACTAGCCAGCTAGCTAGCTCTATCTTCCTAGCTAGCTAGCTAGCTAGCTAGCTAGCTAGCTAGCTAGCTAGCTAGCTGGCTGAATGGCCTAGGCTGGGGGCCCTCTGCGCCTGAGGAAATCGGTGCCCATTTAAAAGGCCGCCGGCGCTGCCCCACGGCTAGCTATTTGGCTGGCTGGCTGGCTAGCCAGCTATCTGGCTAGCTAGCCAGCTATCTAGCTAGATATTTAGCTAGCTAGCTAGCCACTTAGCTAGCTAGGCAACTGGCCAGTTGCCCAGTTGCTCACCCAGCTACCCAATTGGCTGGCTAGCCAGCTAGCTAGCCAGCCAGCTAGCTAGCACTCCTCACCCGAGCTAGCCAGCTAGCTAGCTAGCCAACGGCCCAGCTAGCTAAAGCCCAAGGGCCGCGCAGCTAGCCAAGCTTTAAGACTTGAAAGGACTTGTCTTTTTTAAGTTAACATTTGCCCATCTTCTGGGCTCTTTAGGCCTCGGGCGAAGAGGGCCTAGCTAGCTAGGCCATGCAGGTAGCTAGCTAGCTAGCTAGCCGCATGGCTTAGCTAGCTAGCTAGCTAGCCAGCTAGCTAGCCAGCTAGCTAGCTAGTTGGCGCTTTACCGGTTGCCTAGCCGGCTAGCTAGCCAACACTACCAGCCAGCTAACTAGCTAGCTAGCTAGCTAGCTAGCTGGCCAGCCAACACTAACAGCTAGCTAGCTAGCTAGCTAGCTAGCTAGCTAGCCAACGCTGCTAGCTAGCTGCTGCGGCTTTCGAGCGGGGGATCGTGTCTGGGATCTTCTGTAAAGCTTCTTCGACGCACTTGATGCAAAACCGCTCGAACTGTTCAGCTGCTGCTGCTACTTCTGCTGCTGCTGCTTCTGCTTCTGCTGCTGCTCCTGCTGCTGCAGTTGCTGCTGCTGCTGCAGTCTCTGCAGCAGCTGCTCGATGCCGCCTGCGGATGTCTGCGGAAGAAGACAGGTGGCAGCAGCAGCGGTCACCAGGTGTACAGACACTGCACCTGAACGCCTCTGTTGCTGCTGCTGCAGCTGCTGCAGCAGCTGCTGCTGCTGCAGGTGCTTGCTTCTGCTGCACGTGCTGCTGCTTCTGCAGGTGCTGCTGCTGCTTCTTACCTTTAAGAATATCTGCCTTCCGTCGGCTCCACAGCTGTCCCAATTTCGCCTTGACGTCTGAGACACAAACGGGGTTTAGGGTTTAGGGTTTAGGGTTTAGGGATTGGGCGGCCCATGAAGGTCCCAAATCCTTGGAGCCCCTTCATGGCCCAAACCCTCGTAAAGAAGAGTTCAGTGATCCCTCAGGACCCCTGCGCCCTAGGGTTTAGGGTTTAGGTCCTAGGGTTTAGGGTCTAGGGTTTAGGTGCAAAGGTTTAGGGTTTAGGGTTTAGGGTTGGGCCCCTGCTAACCTGCAGGCAGGTCCTTGGCAGCGGTCTTCAAAACAGTGGAAACCACAAGGCGCAGTCTCGCGTCTGCTGCAGCAGCAGAAGTAGCAGCAGGCGCTGCTGCTGCAGCAGCAGCAGGTGCTGCTCCTGCAGCAGCAAGTGCTGCTGCTGCAGCAGGTGCTGGTGCAGCAGCAGGTGCTGCTGCTGCTGCAGGTAAAACATAAGGAGCCGCCACCCCACAGGGGCCCTCGTGAGGGTCTGTGGGGCCCCCAGAGGCCCCACAGGTACCCCCAGGGGCCCCCCAGGAGACCCCAGGGGCCCCCCAGGGGCCCCCAGGGGCCCCCCAGGGGCCCCCAGTTGATTGGAATGTTTGTGGAGGTTTCCAAAGGGTTAAAAGGCCTTCGCGAGCTGCAGCGGAGATGAGGCGCAGCTGAAAGAGAAAAAGAAGGGTTTAAACCCTAAACCCTAAACCGTTAGACCCTAAACCCCAACCCTAAACCCTAGAACTAAACCCTAGGACTAAACCAGAAGTCTAAACCCCAAGTCTAGTCCCTAGAACTAAACCCTAGCCCCAAACCCTAGGTCTTTCGCTTTTAAGGCAAATGAGCCAGCAAGGCGAAGGGTTTAGGGTTTAGGGCCTGCCTTCAGAGTCTATTCCGAGGAGTCAGAAAAAGGGTTTAGGGTTTAGGGTTTAGGGTTTACTGCCTCAGTTGTATCTCCTGGAATCTTCCACAATGTCGCCCCAGACCGCCACCCGCCCGGACCTCCCTTGCTGCTGCTGCTGCTGCTGCTGCTGCTGCTGCTGCTGCTGCTGCTGCTGCT